TTTGTAATGGATTTACTTCCCCCTCCCTACTGCTCTTACATTTAATTCAGTATTCTTTTTGTAGCTTGAGGTAAATCTTAGTTCAGATTCCACTTTTCTATAAATAATAATAATTTTTTAAAGCTTATTTATTTTGAGAGAGAGAGAGAGAGAGAGAGAGAGAGAGAATCCCAAGCAGGCCCCGCATCACCAGCACAGAGCCTAAGGCAGGGCTCCAGCTCACTCACGGTGAGATCATGACCTGAGTCGGAAGCTCAACCATCTGAGCCACCCAGGTGCCCCTTATATAAATAATTATTAACTTCTGAAATAAACTTTTGTGGCCTCCTGTACACTCAAGTCAGGTTATTCTTTTTTCAGTATGATATATATTTTTTAAGTTTTTATTTTAATCGCCCAATGTGATATATTAATTTTGTTTTCACTTTGACCCCAGAATTACTTAGATTTTTTAAAAAATTTACATCCAAATTAGTTAGCATATAGTGAAACAATGATTTCAGGAGTAGATTCCTTAATTCCCCTTACCCATTTAGCCCATCCTCTCTCCCACAATCCCTCTAGTAACCCTCTGTTTGTTCTCCATACTTAAGAGTCTCTTATGTTTTGTCCCCCTCCCTGTTTTTATATTTTTGTTTCCCTTCCCTATGTTCATCTGTTTTGTCTCTTAAAGCCCTCCTATGAGTGAAGTCATATGATTTTTGTCTTTCTCTCACTGATTTCACTTAGCATAGTACCCTCCAGTTCCATCCACGTAGTTGCAAATGGCAAGATTTCATTCTTTTTGATTGCCAACTAATACTCCATTGTATATATATACCACATCTTCTTTATCCATTCATCCATCGATGGAAATTTGGGCTCTTTCCATACTTTGGCTATTGTTGATAGTGCTGCTATAAACATGGGGGTGCATGTGTCCCTTCGAAACAGCACACCTGTATCCCTTGGAAAAATGCCTAGTAGTGCAATTGCTGGGTTGTAGGGTAGTTCTATTTTACTTTTTTGAGGAACCCCCATACTGTTTTCCAGAGTGGCTGCACCAGCTTGCGTTCCCAAGAATTATTTAGATTTTTTTAAAAAAATTACAAATTATTTGCCTTTTAAATCGGTTTCTGGTTTAGATTGAGGCGTGCGTGTTTTCTCCTCCTTACCTTATATATTAGAAAAGTTCTTCAGCAATTGGTACATACTTTTAGGTTGTTTCAGTGAGTACTTAGTAAGGATGCTGATGGTCTTGTAGCCTTTGAAACCTAGTTTAACAGTTGCCTAATGCTCTAATTTCTTCTGTTATGTGATCCCTTAAAACAGTGGGCTGTGAGCTACTAAGTCTCTGTGCCCCTCAATTCCATTTTGTCTGCTCTCTGCATACTGAAGGATGGCTGGGTTGACTTGGAACCTTTCCCAAAAGAGTCCATCTATTTACAATGAAGAAATTTGCTCATGAACAAAACAAAACAAAAAACCCTCAACAAAACTGAAATTAAACAAAAATTTGCTCAGAGCTAATTTCTGTAGCTGACCGTCTTTCAGTGTGATCTGCACTAATGGTTATATTTTTGCAGTTTTGTATTTTTAAATATTTTACTCTCCCACATGGTGAGGACTTCCTGTGTGTGTTTGTGGCACAGAATGGGGTATGGCCATTCTAAGCTTTGAAGAGAATTTTCAACTTTTAAGGTGGACTTCTAAGAAAGAACCACATTGCCTGAGGAAGAGGCCCAGAAGAGGAGGAAGAAAAATGAAAGAGGCCACAGGAATGGCGTTTTCTCAGGTAGTCATATTCTTGGTCGAGGATCCATTTCTCCTTCCTGTTGGCCTTGCGGATCTCTAGAGTACTCTTGACACGTGCCCGTCCACACTCCCCCAGTCCTTCCCCCAGTCCCCCTCCTCTCCATTTAGATTCCAGCTCATGGTAACCTAGTGACACGGAGCCTGTGAGTAGGCTTGGCCACATGCTGATGGGCTCACGCTCAGGCAGTGGTTGTTTAGGGGCCACGTCTGGATGCACTGTTAGCCGTCTGTAAGCCGGGGTAAAAGAAGCGGCGCGTGGAATCCTGTATTAACGTCCACACGTACCTGGAAGCTTCTAGAAAAATAGACCAATAGCGAGCAATCTGCCCACTTTTACACTACATTTGAAGCTGAACAAGTGTGGGTTCCTGCCTTTAAGATATTAATGATGGGAATGGAATGGAAAGAGTTTTATTCATCATGAGTTTTAAAATATGAAATCAACCTTTCTGAATTTGGATGGCTTTTATTTCTTTTCCTTGATCATTTCTCTGGCTAGGATTTCCGGTACTCTGTTGAACGGAAATGCTGAGAGTGCGGACCCTTGCTGCCGCCTTCTTTTTTTTTTTTTTTTCGTAAAAAAATTTGTTTTAATTTATTCATTTTTGAGAGACAGACCGTGAGTGGGGGAGGGGCAGAGAGTGAGGGAAACACAGAATCTGAAGCAGGCTCCAGGCTCTGACCTGTCGGCACAGAGCTTGATATGGCGCTCGAACTCATGGACTGTAAGATCATGCATGACCTGAGCCAAAGTCGGACGCTCAACCGACTGAGCCCCCCGGGCACCCCTGCCTTCTTCTTTATCTTAGAGGAAAAGCTTTCAGTCTCTCACCATTGGGTAGGCTGGTTGTGTGCTTTTTGTATATGACTTTGATTGTGTTGGGGGTGGTCTGTTATTCCTAGTTTGTTGGATGTCTTCATCCTGAAAGCTTGTTGAATTTTGTGAAAGCCTTTTTCCTCATTGAGATGACCAAGTGTTTTTTTTTTCCTTCATTCTGTTAGTACATTCTACTAATGTATTGCCATTGATTTTTTTGAATGTTGAATCTTCCATACTTTGTTTTAAAATTTTTTTAAGTTTATTTATTTTCAGAGAGTGAAATCACCAGGATGGAAGAGGCAGAGAGAGAGGGAGAGAGAGAGAATCCCAAGCAGGCTCTGCACTGTCAGTACAGAGCCTGATGCGGGGCTTGAACTCAGGAACCATGAGATCATGACCTGAGCTGAAGTCTGACGCTTACCCAACTGAGCCACCCGTGTGCCCCTCTTTGTGGAGATTTTTGATCACTGCTCGTATGTCCTCTCCAGGTATAATTCTGTTCACTTTTGTTATTTCTTCGTGATCATAGGTCTTGGTAGGTTGTATGTTTTCATGAATTGACCCTTACCTTCGAGGTTATGCATTGTTGGCATGGAGTTGTTCATAGTACCCTCATAGAGTCCTTTTTAAAACTTTCCATGACATGAATTGCAATGTTCACTAGTCTAGCTAAGGGCTTGTCAATTTATTAATCTTTTCAAAACATCTCTTGGTTTGTTGATTTTTTTTAATATTGTTTTTTTTTTTAATCCTCTATTTCATTTACCTCTGCTGTAATCTTATTTACTTCCTTCTGCTAAACTGGGTTTAGTTTGTTCTTCTTTTTCTGCCTTCTTGAGGTGTAAAATTAGATTTCTGATTTGAGATCTTTCCTCTTGTTTAATGTAAATATTCACCATTGCAGACCCTCCTCTGAGTGTCCCTACATTTCAGTATGTTGTTTTTTCATTTTCATCCGGACACTTTGCAGATTCTCTTGCGGTTTCTTCTTTGACCCATTGCTTAAGAATGAGCTGTTTGGGGGCACCTGGTGGCTCTGTCATTAAGCATCTGACTTCAGCTCAGGTCATGGTCTCATGGTTTGTGAGTTCACGTCCCACATCAAGTAAGCATGAGCCCCGCTTTGCTCTCTCCCCCTGCCTCCCTCCCTCCCTTTCTCTCTCCCCCTCCTTCCCTCCCTCTCTCTCTTTCCCTCCTCTCTCTCTCTGCCCCTTGCTCACTTGCTCTCTCTCTCTCTCTCTCTCTCTCTCTCAAAACAAAAAACAAAAAACAACAAAAAATGTTTTGGGGTTCCTGTTTGGCCCAGTAGGTAGACTCTTGATCACAGGGTTGTGAGTTCGAGCCCCATGTTGGGTGTAGAGGTTACTTAAAAAAATAAGCAATTAGAAAAAAGTATATTATAGAAAAAATGAGTTGTTTCCTTTTTGCTATTTGCTTTTAGTTTCAATTCAGTGTTAGAGAAGATGCTCTTTATGATTTCAGCCTTCTTAAATTTGCTAAGATTTGTTTTCTGGCGTGACGTCACGTGTGCTTTAGAAGACCGTGTTCTGGGGCGCCTGGGTGGCGCAGTCGGTTAAGCGTCCGACTTCAGCCAGGTCACGATCTCGCGGTCCGTGAGTTCGAGCCCCACGTCGGGCTCTGGGCTGATGGCTCGGAGCCTGGAGCCTGTTTCCGATTCTGTGTCTCCCTCTCTCTCTGCCCCTCCCCCGTTCATGCTCTGTCTCTCTCTGTCCCAAAAATAAATAAAACGTTGAAAAAAAAAAAAATTTAGAAGACCGTGTTCTGCTGCTGCTGGCTGTGGTGTTCCGTCTGTCTGGTAGGTGCACTTGCTGAGAGTGCTGTTCAGGTCTTCTGTCTCCTTCTGGATCTTCTGAAACTGGGTACTGAAGTCTACTGTTATTATTTCTTTTTATTTTTTTATTTTTTATTAAAAAAATTTTTTTTAACATT